ATACACTTAGAAGTAGAAAAGAAGAAGAATCAAATTTAAAAATTTGTTCTGAAGCCAGGTATAGTGGCACACATCTGTAATCCCAATACTTGGGAGGCTGAGGCAGGAGAACTGCCAGGAGTTCAAGGCCAGCCTGGGCTACACAGTGAATTTAAAGCTAGCTCATAATAAGATCCTGTCTCAAAAAAGAAAAAAACTGTTCAGGTTTCAGTGATGAAAATTAGGAGTTCAGAAAAAAGGAAGAGAGCTTAGTAATCAAGAAAATGCTTCCTCTTGAAACAGATGCACTTGTCTCCAGAGATGATCTGGAAAGTGCTAAATGTAAGAGAGCTCATGAACTGTGTGGGGTTAATCACAAAGTGGGTGCTATGTGAGCACATGGAAGAGATCGTGGCCTCAGAGTGAAAGGAAGCAAATAAGCAGAGTTGGTCACAAACCACAGAAGTTAAGTGCAAAACAAGATAAAGTCTCACAGAAAGCAGAGCAAAAGGCCAAAAAATAAAGAGAACATAAGAAAAGAGATGTAGAGGTTTGTCCAGGAGACACAATACGTACAGCAGGAATACCTGAAACAGAGGACAAAGAAAATGAAGCCCAAATAACAATTCAGAAACTCTATCATTTAAATTTAATGAAAACCGGACATGGTGGCCCACACCTATAATCCCAGCACTCAGGAGGCTGAGGCAGGATTGTTGTAAATTCAGGACCATCCTGGGCTACAAAGTGAGCTCAAGGACAGCCTGAACTACATTAGCAAGATCCTATCTCAAAGAGACCAAAAAAAATTTTTAAAAATTAATGAAAAGAAACCTAGTGATATAACCTAGATATAATCTAGTGACTTTTAAAAATTTCAAGTTAAAGAAAAAATTTTTCAAGTACCCAGACAGAAAAAACAGGTTACCTATATGGGGGCAAAAGTAAACCAACCTCAAATTTTTATTGGAATTCTATCTAAATGCCAGAAGACAATGAAAAACACCCACAGAGTTGGAGTTTTTTGGGAAACCAGGAATCAACCTCAGGACCTTGTGCTTGCCACGCAGGCACTGTGCCACTGAGTTACAAGCCTGGCCCCATAAAAACTACAGTTTTAGGGGAAATAATTTTGAATCAAGAATTATATACACTGCTAAGTTAGTTTTTCTGCATGAAGGCAAATGAAAGATAATCTCAGATATCAAGGGGTCAAGAAAGTATGTATAGGTGCAGGGCGGGGGTGTCAGCTCAGCTGCACAAGTGCCTGGTTGGCAAACACGAGAATGTGAATTTGATCCCTGGTACAAAAAACAAAACAAAACAAAACATATATCACCCAAGAAACTTTTCTGAAAACTTTGCTGATGATATACTGCTGCCAACAGAAAAATTACAAAGAGCAGGAAGCTGAGTATGAAACGTTTGATGGTAATCATTAAAACTTGTTAAACAGCATGTTAAAATTGTTACATATAGGGTAATAAACTTAAATGCAAAATAATTTGTATGCTACATAAAAAATTTCCAGTTTACATGGTTTTAAGCTGTCAAAGTACAAACAGACACTGCTGGATTATTAAGTATAATGAGAAAATTACTGTTTTTATTCTTTGCCATCGAATATCAACATAGGAGAAATGTAACTCCTGACCTGTTAGATGGCAAATATGCTAAGTTTGGGGTCCTACACTATGGAGGACTAGAAGGCCTGTAATTCCAGCACTCAGAGGCTCAAACAGGAAGATCACTGCTACTTCGAAGCCAGTGTGGGTTACCCAGTGAGTTCCAGACCAGCCTGAACTATACATAGTGAAACCCTGTCTCAAAAAACCAAAACCAAAACCAAAACAAAATGGAAATAAACAAACACCCACCCACATCAAGGAATAAAATTGCAAACACAAGAAGTTAGGAGAGTTTTATTGGAAATAAGTAGAGACTAGCTCCTGGATTTCCAGAAGGGGTTCTAATGGGATGGCCATCATGGCCCTTTGTTAGGGTAACTTATAATGCAAAGTCACAATGCAAGTACAATCTGGGTCAAACTAGAACCGACCTATAAGATTATGAGTATAGCTGCTTAAACTAATAATGATACAACAGGGAAATGAGACACACAGCAAGGGTACATGGAAATAAAGGTATTTTGGGGAAGTGAGTCTGGATGCAGCGGTGACCCACCTGGGCAGCTCATGCCTATCTGGATTTACTGGACCACTGGTGCTAATTACACTATAATTTTAAGTTACTGTTTAACCCTTAGGGAGGCAAGCTAGCCTGGCCACTGCATCTTCATCTTGAGTCCTGGCCTTCTTTAGATGCCCCTCCAGTCGCCATTCTGATGTCTTTATTTTTTTTTTTCCTTTTTATTGGTACCGGGGATCGAACTCATGACTGCCTCCTTGCAAGGCAGGCACTTATGCCGCTGAGCTAAATCCCCAGCCCCTGATGTCTATTTTTTGTGCTGACTTCCTTGAAAGCTAAGTCCCTTTCTGACTGTACATTACTTTAGTGTCTATCTAACTTAACTGCCTGTATATTATAAAGACGCATGTTGTTAAGACAAAGTGCTTTCTTCTGAGTTTTGACTAGGAAAAAAAAAAAAAAAGACAACTATGGGCAGGAGAAGTACAGTAAAAGCATTCAAAATGTTAACCTGAAAAAATTGGAAAATCATAGTTTTCTTTTTAAAAAAATTATAAAAAACAAAAACAAACAAACAAACAAACAAAAACTAGTACACCAAGTGTTGAGGTGCATGCCTGTAATCCCTGCACTCAAGAGGCAGAAGGACTGCTGTGTGTCAGAGACCAGATAAGGCTACAGAGTGAGTTCAAGGATAGCCTGAACTACATAGTGAGACCCTATCTTACACAAACAAACAATCAAACAAAACTCAACCTAAATAAGTAAATAAAATAAAATTAGTGCATTTAATGTACTTACAAATTCATTGATTAATCCTTCAATTAAAGAGAAGGCAAGAAGCAAAAAAGAAAAGAAAATTAATTTTCCCTATTTGATTAAATTCTGAATACAGATCTTCTTTTTTGTTTATTTGTTTTTTGAGACAGGGTCTTGCTATTTGTTCAGTCTGGCCTTGAACTAACTTTGTAGCCCAGGCCGGCCTCAAACTTATAGTAATGCTCCTGCTTCAGCTTCCCAAGAGCTGCCTCAGCCTCCTGAGAGCTGGCATGAGCCAGCATGGCTGGCCAAATACAGATCGTTAGTAGCTTCAGATATTTTTAGAAATTAATTAACTGGTTGGTTGATGGAAGTCCTAAATATCAAACCCAGGGCCTAGTGCATACCAGGCAAGTGTTCTACCACTGAAGTTTTATCATGAGTCCCTAAAAAACTCTTGCTTGATGAAATTAACTTCCAGGTATTTCAGGGCAATGAGCAGGTTAGCCATCTTGTAGAGCTGGGGCTGCTGCCACATGACTGAGGTGAGAGAAAAAAGTACAGCTGATTCTGAGTTCTCCCAAGAGACAGAATTCTCAATCCATACACGTACTAGGTGGTTTTGTCTTCTTAGTGGCTGACGAAGTCATTACTTTTCTACACGCACGGTTTTGCTATGTTACCCAGGCTGGCTTCGCCCTCCTACCTCAGTGTCCCAAGTAGGTGGGACTACAGTGATGTACCAGTGACTGGTCTTTCCCATATTTTCTCAGCGCACCCCTCCCTTTCTTCAGTGGTTCTCCCTCGGTGACAACCTTGTCACCCCCATGTCTGCCTCTCCTCTAATGCCCCTCAAAAGTGAAAACTCTGTGAACAATCTATCCTTCTCTAATCTGGTACACTCCCTAATGTGGAAGATAACCTCTCCATAATTCACATGCCAAGAGGAATTTATTTTTAGTAAAATTAGACACTTTTAAAGGCATCACAGAATACTCAGAGAGGTGTGAAGTAAATGAGGTCCCCTCCCTAAACACAACCATTATCATTTGTTTCCACTATTAGAATTGCTGTTTTCTAACTGTAAACAGAATGGCTCAGTCACATAGTGTGTTAAGGCTTACTTGGTTGAGACAGGAACTACTCTGTAAACCAGACAACTACAGTATTTGCATAATGTGTTCAGAAGAAAGGACCTCAGGAGAACCCAATCTCTGCAGATGAACACAAATGAAATATGGCACCAGACGGAAGAGTGGCCGGGAAAAGAGCATGGCGTCACCGGCACTTCCTGTTCCAATGGGCATAAACATGTTAGGACAGCAGGCCCCCTCAGATAATATTTTGTTTTGTTTTATTAATTTTCGCTTTCCAATCCATGAAAAAGGGAAAGTGCTGCCTACCTCACTTAGTTCTTAGAGTGATATGTTACATGCTTTTATTTCTCCAAAGCCTTTAAGCTTCTCTGGTAGCTTTCCTTATGGAATGTTTTCATGTAACAGCTTTTGGATACAGACACTCCTTGTTTAAGACTGAGTTCCAGGGGCTGGGGATTTAGCTCAGTGGCATAAGCACCTGCCTAGTAAGCAAGCGGTCGTGAGGTCGATCCCCGGTACCGATTAAAAAAAAAAAAAAAAAAACAGTTTTAAGACTGAGTTTCTTCCCTGCAAGTAGGTTATTACTTGAATTAGTTGTTAAATGAGGAACTATATATAGTACGCACATTATAGTATTCAGAACAAAAAAATGGTGGAACTTGATGACTTTGCTTTTATTCACGTAACACTTACACACAGTACTATAATGTGTTACAGAACATAAAACTATAGTACTGTACAGTAAAATCAACAAAAATTATGGTGCTGTATAAACAAGATATGCTACACCAAAAAAAAAAAAGACAGGTCGTAAGTCCAGGCAGCAGGTCCAAAGTCTGACCACCATGCCTCCATCCTAAGACTGAACTGTCACTAAATAGGTAGGTCATTAAATGAGAAATATCTGTATTTATTTCAACATGAAACCATACTTCTAAGGAAAAAATTGTGTGTGAAAGGACAAAGATTTCTATAAAAGGCTTCTATAAATAGAATCAAACATTCTCTAACAATTACCTTTTGTTCTTCTCTTTCTGTTGCATGGTGACATTTTTCAATTCTCCAGTGCCTCAAGAAATCTCGAAGATATCCAAAGAGGGTGAGGACACCGTACCCCACATATGTGAGCACAGCAACCAGCATGGGTGTTTCTTCAAAAGCTTCATTAAATGGTCTTTTATAAAGTCCCCCATTTTCTGTAACATGATGGATCTGAAAGATAGGTTGAAAATGTTTTTTTCAATCTCAGCAAAAAAAGGACTTCTACCTAAAATCACCCTAAAAGATTTGCATAAATGTACCTTGAAAATTGGGTAACAGTCCAAAGAAACTTCAAGATCTAGGCAGAAAATACTTGTTTTTAACAGAAAAAAATTTATAAATCATATACACTTCACAGGAAAATAAATAAAATTTTAAAAGGGACTAAGAAAGGCTGATTAAATAATGCCTAACACTAATTTTTAACATAACTTGATTTCCTGAAATAGATTCTAAAGTGCTATAATTGAGGTGGCTCAACTACTTGGGAGGACAGGAAGTTCAAGACCATCTTGGGCACCAGAGTAAGACCCCATTTCTAAGACAAAACAAGAAAAGAAGATACATAACAAAGAGACTCCCTATTCTGAAAAATACTGTTAGCTTATTAATGAAGCAAGTGAATTTAGGATGTAAAATAAAATTTTTTTGTTTGTTTTTTGGTACCGGAGATTGAACTCACGACCTCATTCTTAACAGGCAAATGCGTGAACCACTGAGCTAAGTCCTCAGCCCTAAAATAAAATATTTGTAAATACTTTACTACCACACAGGCTTAAAGTTACTCAGCTATGGTACTCAAAAAACTGTCAGCACCAGGCCGCTGTAGATACATGGGGTTCATATTAACCTCTGTCAGTAACAAGAAAGGTTATGCACACAGTAAAATATTTATGTAAATGTGCTCCAGCACTGGACAAGGGTAAAAGAAAGCCAAATACACTGTCACATGCTTATGGGCCCAGCTGCTCAGGACACTGAGGTGGGAGGATGGCTTGAGCCCAGTAGTTTGAGGGTAGTCTGGGCCACATACCAGGACTCTGTCTCTTAAAAAAGAAAACTGTTTAAAAGTTAACAACATGAGTACACAAAAGTAGCAACAGAAACAGAGCAACAAAAAAGCACAGATAAATCAGGCTTTCATAATTTAAGGATATGCTCCTCAGTTCAGGTGCTCCCTCTGAATTTCTAGGTAAGATTGACTGGAATGACTGATGGGGGTGCTGAGAGTCTCCCAACTTGGCAGGCTTCACTCTGATCTTAATCATATTTTTACATATTTATGAATCCATAGTGAGGTGAGAATAGGGCAGAGGTGGCCGGAAGGTAAGATCAGAGGCACTGGGGAATCCCCTGGGTTTTTGTTATTTTATTTTCTATCTCTCTTAGGGCAGTGGAAGCAGGAATAACCAACTGCAGTATAGCATTTAGAATTAAATGGAGGGATGTAAGTAACTCCTTCAGCCCCACTGTTTCTAACTTACCTATAAGAAGTCTGCATATCATTTGGCTTGTCCATTCTCTCCTGTAGAATCAGGTCCCTGGTATTAAAACAAGTCACTTTCTATAACTAACTTTACGATAGGAACTTTAGTTCTTTAAAAAGTAGATTTATTTATTTGTTTATGTACTGTTTTCTTTCACATATTACCTACTGCATATTGAACCTGGGGCCTTTGCACTCAGTTATATTCCCAGCCTTATGTTTAAATTTTTTATTTCAATCAGAGTTTCACTAAGGTGCTAAGTTGCTTAGTCTGTGCTCAAACTTGTGATTGTTCTGCCTCAGGCTCCCAGGTAGCTCGGATTGTAGGTGTGCATCACTGGCTGTTAGAGAGATGCAAATTAAAACAACTCTGAGATCCCACCTCACTCCAGAAAGAATAACTGTCATCAAGAAATCAACCAATAACAAATGCTGGAGGGTTAAAGGAATTCTCCTTTGTTGTTAGTGGGAGTGTGAATTGGTGCAACCACTGTTAAAATTTGTGGGGAGATTTCTCAAAAAGCTAGGACTAGAGGTTCCATTTGACTCAGCCATTCTTCTATCTTCCCAAAAGAATTAAAAGCATCGGGGCTGGGGATTTAGTTCAGCAGCATAAGCGCCTTGTAAGCAGGCAGTCATAAGTTCGATCCTTGGTACCGGTAAAAATACAAAAAAAAAAAAAAAAAAAAAAAAGAATTAAAAGCATCATATCACAGTGATATGTGTACACCTATGTTTATAGCAGCGTAAGTTTCTTAACAGCCAAATCTCAGAAACAACCCACATGCCCATCAACTGCTCAATGGATAGATAGATTTTTTACACAATGGAGTACTAACCTGCCATGAAGTACATGCTCAAAACATTTCTAGGAAAATGGATATACCTTGAGTCCATTCTTAAGTGAAATAAATTAGAGATATATGTGTAAATACCACATTGTTTCCCTGGTGTGAGAAGCAGAAAGTGTAAATAAGAACCAAAATGTGTAGCAGGTAAAATAGGAGGAAAATGTTCAAATGGGGAGAACAAAGGAGAAAGGAAAGGGAAAGGAAAGAAAGGAAAAGTTTTTTTTTAAAAAAAAAAAAGAAAAGGAGGAAAATATAGAAACAAAGCTTTGTAAATGGGGAGGTAAGGGGTTGAATGGAGGGTAGAGGAATGGGGAAAGAAACAAAGTATGTCATGTATAGGTACAAATTCTATTATGAATGTGATTGTTATAGGTATAGGTATCTAAAATGTAACAACAAAATCTAATTTAAAGAAATAGAAAGGCATCACCATGGTGAACATGTATAATGTTCCAAGGGAAGCCACCAGATGATTTTGCCTACAAGTATATTCAGCACTCAGAATAGTATTTATTACTAACAAAAAATTAACACCTATTCTGTAACATTTCCTTTTATTACCATTACAGAAAGTGACACCTGATAGGAATACAATAAATCTTTGTCAAATCAATGAAAACAATGCTTTACACTCTTTGCTCTTTCAAAACAAGTACACTGACAAAGAAGGGACTTGGTTATAGAGATTACACAATTAATACTGAGATACTTCTAGGACTCAGAGCTGATGCCTTTTAGTTTTAAGTAGACTGGCAGTGATATCCAATTCACACTAAGCAAAATATGGGCTGTTAACTAATACAGTGTATTTCAAATTCCAGATTCACTAAGAAGGCTCTTACCAAGTCTGTCATTCTAACTGGAAGCTATACTGTCAACCAAATAACCAAGAAAATACTAGTTTGTCATTGCCTCCAAGTTTGAGAAACAGTGTGCTCACAGAAAGCAGATAAAAATGTGACACTGTTAATATTATACACTTTAAAGTAAGACTCAGGCACTCCTACAAATATCGAAACACAACTGCTTAAAGCAAATGCAAAAAGAAAACAAAAAGGCAAAAAAGGTATTTTTTCAGTCAACATATTAGCATACTACCATAAAATATTACAAGACAGGGCCAGGGCATAGCTCAGCAGTGGAGTGCCTACCTGGCAAGCACAAGGTCATGAATTCAACACCTGGTACAAAAAGGGGGGGTGGGGATTTTATCTGCATGCCTGGAGGCTGTCAACCATGGTTCTTAAGCAGCTGAAAAAGAGCTCTTAACCGAACCAATAATGGAAAAGTGTAAATGAAAGACAAACTGTGTTCATAATACGTATGCCCTAAAATCTAAAATCTCCTAGAATGAAACAAAAGAAATTGGGATAGGGAGTGGGATGGAGGAAGAAAGTATATTTCTTACAACCTTATAAACCAGTTTGACATTTTTCTGTGTGTGTATGTGTGTGTGAGAGAGAGACAGAGAGACAGAGAGACAAAGAGACAAAGAGACAGACAGAGACAGAGAGACAGAGACAGAGACAGAGACTCACTATGTAATTCAGGCTGGCCTTGAACTCACTATGCAATGCAGGCCAGGCTGGTCTTGAATTCATGATAATCCTCCTGCTTCAGCACCCCCACTCACCTGGCATTGTTTTAACCTTCTCTGAAATAGAGCCTTACTATAGTTCAGCAGCCCTGATTTCACTATGAAGTTAGCTCAAGACTAGCTTTAAACTCACAGCAATCTTTCTGCCTCCCAAGTGCTAAGATTACAGATCACGCTGAGCTCTTTTTCCTGTTTTTACAAAAATGAGTACATATTATTAATGAGTTTTCACTTGTCATTTTAAATACATTTACATTGAATTATGCCACAGATTTTATTCATCTTATATCAATCATTATACTTCAAGTTATTTCATTACATTCAGTCTCTGGCAAATCCTCACTTGTTAGTTTTCAAAGACCTTATATGCTCATGAGCATATACAAATCTACACTGCATTCCCAAATTTCTACATCATATAAAATAAAATTACATGCAAATATAATCCTCTCTCTGGAAAAATGACAATCTTCCAACGTGGTAATTCCATTAACAGTGTCCAATACTAATAAAGCAAGACACAGTAATATGTTAGTTAGAAATGGGGAGGTTAGCCAGGCATAGAAGCGCATGCCTATAATGTCAGCACTTGGGAGTCTGCAGCAGCAAGATTGCCCGAAATTCAAGGCCAGCCTGAGCTACATCGTGAGTTTTAAGGCCAGTATGAACTACAGAGACTGTCTGTCTCAAAACAAACAAAATAAAAGCAAAATCCCAAATAAACAAACAATAACCCAACTAATCAACCAACCACAGCAATTAAACACCAAGAACTCTTGTTAAAATTGAAAACTGAAAGATCCTGCCTCTGAATATGAAGAAAAAATACAGAGAGGAGGAGACTGTCAATGTGAACCTAGTAGACACTTAGAGCTACATGCTAAAGTAAAAAGCAAAAGGATGCAACTGACTCAAGAAAAAATAATCTTTAATTATAAATGTATGAAGAGAGATGGGGGAGAATGAATTTTCCAGAATCAGTTGGGAATTTGTTGCAGTACTAATGCCTCTACCATTTAACAGTTCAGTATTTCTCTTTTTTTTTTGAGATTTCCCCCCTCCCGCACTGAGGATTGAACTCCCCACCTCATGCTTGCCAGTCAGCTGCCATGCAGCTGAGCTAAACCCCCAGCCCCTCAGTATTTCTTTAAAATGAGAACATTCTTGCCAACTCCACACATGCATGCCTGTAATCCCAGCAATTGGAAGGCTGAGAAAGGAGGGTCACTGTGAGTTC